TATATCCCAACGGTACCCCACATGTTTGGAGACCTTCATCCTATTTCCTTTTGGATTTCCCTTTCCATTTGATCCTCCATTCCTGCAGCTATGAACCCTAAACCCTATCCCCGACTATAAGCCCCAAACCATAAATCCAAAACCCGCTAAACCCTAACCCCTGAAACCCAAACCATAAATCCAAAATCCCCTGAACCCTAAACCCTTACCCCGGCCCTAAGCCCCAAAGCATAAATCCTAAAGCCCCTAATCCCTAAACCCCAAACCCTAAACCTCAAACCCCTGAGCTGCCTAGGAAACAATCAGGCCCTTGTCGTCCACTGCCCAAGTGAAATCTTCGGCGCGCTTGGCCATGTTTGACAGGGCATCCTCATGCGAGTAGCGCTTTTTTGGCAATTCGGCTTCGGGTTTAAGAATTCTGCTTTTTATATACTTTGCTATACACCAAAGGAGCTTATAATCTTACACTATGTTGGGGTCTACTGTACCCCCAAATAAGATACTACTCCTGTGAGAAACGGTCAATATTCCCCCCATAGGATTACTAACGGAAAAAACAGACGGACGAGAATATGAAAGACACAGTGGAAAATGTTACTATATAGGGGATCATAGGCATTAATATTTACCCTATATGAATGTACTGCGCAAATGATGGACATGGTCCCTATTACGGAACATATTAGGACCTATACGAAACACAAGCTCATGTCAACTTGTGTCCTTTGTGTTGCTAGAATCAAGTTGCAGCTCAGCATGCGAAATACCAAGATCCTCAATCCCGAAAACAACCTAAACCAGCAGGACTTCCTTACAAATGGCCATCGTTGTAAAATATGGTTGACGGTTATGTTTCAGGCTTTGCTGCCTGGAGGGTTAGGGGGACTTAGTAAGGAAAAGAAAATGAATATCACAACATCTCGTTTGGGGTTTTGGGTTTAGGGTCAGGGGGAGCTAGCAAGTAGGTTAACACCCGTGCCAACCACGTAGAAACCTGAGTAGTCCCCTGTAATAAACTACTTACTAAGCCCCCTGGATCCTCCCAGTATGATCATTCAAGGAATGTGCTACCCTAAACCCTAAACCCTAGACCCTAATTGTCAAGGTATCAGGCCCCCCTCCCCGACACTACATGGCAGTGTTGAGTTTCCATGCCATAAGTAGTCGGACCCAAGTCGAGAGCCCCATGTATTGTTGGTTCGACTTGTCACTTCGAGCTCCTGAAAAGACTGAGAACCGCAGCAGCCCATTGGCGCGCGAAAACGGGGCAAAAACCCTCTCGAAGAAAGGTAAAAAAATGTACAGGCGCGGGGGCGCGAAGGCACTAACGCTATGTGCNNCCAAAAGCGCGCAGGCAAGGCGAGGTGTATTGTTGGGCCTCGACATGGTACCCAAAATAAGTTTTCGAAAGCCTCTACATAGACTGAGAACGGCCACGCAAAAAGACTGGGTTGCTGTTAAG